AGTTAAACAGAGAAAATTAACAGGATGTTGGTATCTTAAAAAATAATTTTCTCCAGACGCCTTCTGTGGGAATCTCAGAAGTACCTAAGATGGTTAAAATCGAAACAATTTTTAAAACCCAGCTTGCTCTCTATATACACTGATAACTTCTTTGCATTTCACTTAGTCTCAGGCCTTGTCTACACGACAAAGGGTTTGCCACTATAGATAGAGTGGTAGAGCTACACCAACCACCCTCCCCTTAGTGGAGAGACAATTTATACTGGCAAAAGAGTAGCTTAAACCAGTTCCCTGAGTGAAATAAGGCTACGTGTGTACTTAAATGCTACAGCAGCCGCACTTCAATGTAGAATCATAGAATATCAGGGTTGGAAGGGACCTCAGGAGGTCATCTAATCCAACCCCCTGCTCACAGCAGGACCAATCCCCAAATGGCCCCCTCAAGGATTGAACTCACACCCCTGGGTTTAGCAGGCCAATGCTTAAACCACTGAGCTATCCCTGCACCTAGTGCAGTGATGGGAGGGGTTCTCCCATCGCTGTATATGGAATCCACTGATCTGCTGCTACCTACACTGGGGGTTAGGACAGCTTACCCCGGTGACACGCGCCCATGCTAATGTCACTTTTCAGTGTAGCCCAACTACTATCAAAAAGGACTTTCCCGCTGGTACAACTGGGCCGAGACACTAGTGCTTTCGCCGGCAGAGCTGTGTGGGTCAAGGGTATGATTTTTTTCCCACACTCGTAACAAACATAACTATGCTGGTAAAACTTTCCAGTGTAAACTAGGCCTCAGCCACAGAAAGTCAATGTCAGGTTCTGCATTTCTGTGGGGCAGGGTTTGTGTTGCAGACTTCACCAGGGAGGTTTTTTTAGGTAACAAAACTATATCATGGACACATTTCGGCCTGGTCTACACTTAAAAGTTTTGATGGCAAAGCTGTCAGGGAGGGGTATTACCCTTCCCCCCCATTCCTGACCAACATAGTTATAACCAGTTAAAGCCCTAGCATAGATAGTGTTATGCTGGCACAAGTTCTTTTGGCAGTACAGCTTACTCAGTTCAGAGAGCTGGTAATAGCTATGCTGGTAAAAGCACTTTTCCTGCTTCTACAAGCTGTCTCTTCAATAGGAGGGTTTTCTGAGATATCTACATCAACCAACCCTTTCTAGTGTAGACAAGGCCTTATGTTTTGTAAGATTATTTATATAACCAATCTAATTAACGGCCCCAATTGGTGCTGAAACTGCCACTGTACAACAGTTGTCACACACACACTGCGCACATGCTCTTCTAACCTTAGCAAAACACCTGTCCATTGACTTCCCTAGGGTAGAGTGGGCTGTAAACTAGAATTGGTCCTCACTTTAGAAATGTTTCTCCAGTTTAAACATGGAGTTTTAGGGTAGTGCTGGATATAAGAAATCAAAAGCAGCAAGGGAAGTATAGTGTATATATTTGCATATCCTCACCCAGAATGCCCATGCAGCTCAAAGTTGGCAGGTTAGGCCACAGGTAGAATTTGGTTTTCTGCAAGGCAGAATCATGCAATAATTTCTTCTTTCAGTCACAAGCCTGTTGGCACATTTGGGTTAAAATCAACATCTGCAATAATATACAGCTGTGTTTTTAGTAAGACAGGAGTTACAATAATACATATTAGCTGATCAAACTAATGTAATAATCCTTAGATGACATTGTCTCCAGCCGAATAAAAGATAAATGTGAGCTGATTAATTTCAGTTGGAGAACAGTGTTTGTATAGATGGTGGTAGTAAACATGAACCAGTTCATGAAAAGTGTAACTCTACTGAAGTCAATGGTATTACACCCAGGATGACTTTAGGGCCTCTGTGATTCAACTGAAATTTTAAATGTGCTCCCGCTCTACTAGCTAAATCCTATTGTGTGTTATTGGATGTTAGGAACAGGAATACTTTAAATCAGTGCTTAGGGAAGATCTTTATTTCAACATTTATCTAGAATATTCTTGAGTAAACTCTTACTGACTGACAAAACATTAAATTATGTGCTTCGGATGCATCCTGTCTGCAAATAAGAATATGTAGCTCCCACTGAAGTGAAGAGCAGAAGTGTGTCTCAAGGCAGAATTTGGGCTATTGTGTTTAAAGTCCATTAGTTATATTTAAAAAAAAGTAGTTATCCAATGAGAACACTAGATCTTTGTGTAGAATAGTAAGCAAGTGCATCAAGGCATCATTCTGGAGTGTGCCCCATCCATAAACAAGGAATTTTCAAAAGGATTCTGCTTTCTAGGAACTAGATCTGAGAGCACATGAAATCTGGACCAAAATTGCAGGGTATTCAGCTTCAGCATGTGTTCAGATGTCAGGTTCTAACTCATCTCAAACAGGAACTAATTTCACATTTTAAACAGTTTTTTTTTAATTAGAGAAGTAAATTAAAACTCCCATTTTTAAAAACCATTTTTCTTATATACTAGGCATCAAGCAAAGCTGTTTTCAAACAGTGTCACCCAGTGGTAAAATGAGAAATATCCAGAGATTTAAAAGTCTAACTCGCTTTTACATCTATCATATTAAAAGTTTGCTATTAATTTTCCAAAGAACATTGTGAGTGAAAGTCAGCCTTTGCCTTCCCAGGGATGGGATCCTTAGTGGCAAAGTTTGCAAAACCTGCACCTTACACCCTAACTTTAAGATGACCTCCAGCAATAAGGTGCCTTTGAGCACCAGACTGGAGTCATGGGTTTGGTGTATGTCCATATCCCTCACTGTGCTTCATGTCCTACTTCTCCACCTCCAAAGTTACTGCATTTCAGTGTTAGGTGATCCATTTCCTCTACATCCATTGCCTGCTACACACAGGGGAGTTGTGAGGTTTAACTAGCAGTTCACACATTTTGTAGCTTCTGTAGAGTGCATTGCACCCACAGGGACTCCCTGCATTCCTCTGTCACCCATTCTCCCCCATGCCTGGAGCTCTGTATGTCTTCCATTTTCCACTCCAGGTCCCTCCAACTCCCCACCCCAAACTCATCCCCAATCACTCTGCACATCCCTGGTTCCCCTACTATCGCATCCCTCTGGTCCCTGCTGCTTTACTCCCCCACCCCCTCCAAACTGTCCCCGTATTTTTGTTAGAGTCCAGGCTACATACAATATTCCCAAGCAGTAAATTAAGCTGATGCCTCTGATATGTGAGGACAGCAGCAGGGGCCAGTAGAGAGATTCTTCTGCAAGCAGCACCGGGTGTGTGCGCGCGAATGCTTTTCCTGTCCATCAGGCTTTCGGGGTACTCGGATTTGCACCATGAGAAGGTTGGATGGGATGTTCCACGTGTCATGTGACAGAATGCCATCGCGTGGTGTTACACCTTGCCTTGCTCAGCCAATTAGTTAATGTTTTGAAACTGTGGACTAAAAGATGTTCTACGTTCACTAAGTGAGAGGGAAAAGCACCACCGAGTTCATAACACCACTTCCTGCAGCGCCTGGATTGGTCTTGGCAGGCTCCCATTCTCATGCTGCTCGCACCCAACCCTTTCACATGGAGCAGGGTGCTTTGGCTAGGTTGTCGTACAGAGTGCGCTAGTTTGTTTAGGAAAAAAAGATATTTCCCTTTTTAATGAAATGTTCGGGACCATGATAGCTGTATTACCACAGCACCACCTAGTGGCTCAGTTGATTAGACAGTTAAGATTAGATTTCTATTTTTATACAACAGACATCTGTAACCATCATCAGCAGTTACTTTATTACTAAAATCATTATTAAAAATAATCTTACATTTAGTAAAGATATTGACTAACCTCCAGGGACCACGTTTCTGATCCTTCTAAAGACAGAAGTGCATATTCAAGTCAGTGAAGGAACGCAGCTAAGCAACTAAATGTTTTCCTAGTAACTGATGAGTGTAGACACATTTGCTGTATCATTCTCATCCAAATTCTTTCATTCAGTCTTCTCAGAGCTGCACTTAGAACTAGGATCTCTGCATAATTCAGCAGCTGCACCACCACCACACTTTTTGAAAACATGTTTAAGGAAGTTCCTGGTTTCCAGTAAAATTGCGTATCGATCCCTGAACAATCTTTTAGGTACAATGCAGTTTTGGATTTCCTATCTTGTTCTTTTGGACAAAAAGGGCTACAGTATTGCTTGAATTTACTCCCTGGTCACAACAGCGGAGATAGGAGATACAGACCTTATTCTCTTCTGACCTACTCTGGGGTAAAGCAGGAGTAAGTCACCAAAGTCGATGGAATTTCGGCAGTGTAGATCTGAAGTTGGGAAATCAGGCCCAATATCAAAAACAGAAGGTTGTCATTTTTTTGCTTGTACACAAACTAGAGTGAGTTTGACAAACACATATAGGTCTCTTCACTCCCAATATCCTGAATTTTGTGAAACTGGGAGATTTTAAGTAAAACTCATTCAGCTCGCTGTACTCATCAGGCCAAGTTCACCAATCTCTTCGATTTTAATATTCACTGTGAGTTTTGCCTAAAAGAGTAATAGCTGGTGGTAGCTTCACATTTACTCAATTACAGTTTACTCAAAATCAATTCTCCAGTCCACAGATTCACTTGAGACGCTGCACATAACTTCATTCTTGGGCTCCTGCCCTGCAGATTAACAATATTAAAACAAAGATTCCCTCAGTGAAATACATGATCATGTCAGACTGAAAGATCATAGACCTTGATACAGTATTAAACTAATTTTTTACATACAAAAATAATTATACAGAGGGATATTTTCAGCAGAATACAATCTTTAAATATCCAAATGAATATACAAAGTATTTAAAAGCAGCCTGATGGTCTTTACTGTGTAATCTGATTTAATACATCAACAGGGGCCAGTGTGGAGACAGGTTGTTGGCATAGCCACTGTGTGCTTGGGGTTTATTATAACAGAAGACTTTAACTACTGCAGTAACAGGAAGGAATTCACAAAACATTTCTTTATGAAAACCAAAACCTGAAAACTAACAAAAACACACAAACAAAATTAAAATGTACTAAAATTTAATCATTCATAAAAGCTGTAATTTAATCTGTGACAGTAAAACACAAAAGCAATATTAGAGTTGGTTTAGTATATTATATATTTTTGCTTTGAAAGCCATAGAAATCAGTTATCCCAGTTTTTTCCTATAAAAGACCCATTTTTCCAAAGCATTATGCACAAACATTTTTAATTAGAATATAATGGCAGAATGAAAATAATGATATTCCATAACTTTTAAATATAAAATGAAGTCAATGACTCAAAAAGTTACTTGCTGCAGTGAGTTCAAAGGGAAAATTCATATAGTATATATCTATATAATTATAGATATAAAGTATAATGGTTGAACATTTTTAGTGCTTGATGGGGAAGAATGATGATAAAAAGGTCAATATGAAATTATTTTAATTATGGTAGCAATATCTAACATTTGAAATGCATCCATGCTCTTTTGTATAATTATACACTAGAGTCAATTATATTTATTTTCACATCTGTTAACCGCTATTGCAAAGGAGAAATACTATTGTCTTAATTTCCAAGAGATATACACAGAGCAATTTCTTTTTCCAGGGACCTTGTGCAAACCATTATAAGATCTAAATTCTTCACATAATATATAAAAACAGGAGAAGCCTCTTCAGATATGTTGTTACTTCGTCATTTTTTGACATCTGGAATGCTGGCACTTTCCAATTGGGCAACAGTTCTTCATTCCTGCAATCTAGGATGCGTAAAAGGGAAAAAAAGTTAGGGTCTTTCTTAAATCGTCACAGAGAGGAAAGATCTTAAACAAAGGCCAAAAGATCATTGCTAATAATTGGTCATAGAAGGAAAAGCTGAGAACAAACTTATAGCACAATGGATAGCATTCTGACAAAAAGGGGTTATTTCACTTCAGCATTGTGATTTGTTTCCATTGTAACTTCTCCATATGTATTTAGAAGTAGAGGAAGGGAAAAAATTGGATTCTTTAGAGACCGTTTGTAAACTCTCTGGGACCAAGATTTTTATTTTGTATGTGTCCACAGTGCAGTGCCATGAAGCCCCTCTCCTGATTGGAACACCTGGGTACTATTGTCATAGCAACATGGTCTGCATTTCATCTGAGGCTACAGTATACCAACTCATCTGGTTTGTATCCATTCACTAATGTTGGAAATCTGGAATGCAAAAAATGGAGTTGCTGTGGTGTTATTTCATTAATAAAATGACTATCTGACTAGATATATCCCTTATGATTTTCTTTAAATGGATAATGAGTTAGTGACCTCATTAAAGCCGCTCTTCAAAGCTTGGGTTGTAACAAATCGATTAAACACATTAATTAAGAGGAGGCTCACAAACAATGGCAAGCACAGTAGAGAATCTGATATTTTGAATACCTGTCTCAGACTTAGACATTTCTATTAACACAAAACTATTAGCGATTCATCAACAAAACTGCATTCCCACATTTTTACCAGTAATTTACAGTATCAGCAGCATGTAGTCTGTGTGTATACTCACTTTGCTCCTGAAGTTGCAGGTGAAACACATTTGCTATGCTACGTAACCTATCACAGCATTGCATTTGTTCCAATGAAAATGATACTAGCTGCAAAGCTGCTTCAGTTAAGGACCAGCAGCAAATGACATAGTACTGACAGACCAGCAGATGGCACCTCTTCTAAATGTCACGAGGTAGGCTGTGTTAAGAATGGAGTCTGCTTGGCTGATGATTCACTGGCTAAATTCAAATCCATTGCCTGAGGTGGCAGGAAATGGGAGAGGTGTCTGGTACTATTTGTACCATGATATTGATTTTTTTAAACCATATTTCTTTCCCCTCTTTCCTTGTAAAGCATTAGGGTCTAGCCTGCAAATCACTAGGAAAGGATAAAGGTAAATTGCATAAAGCCCCAAACCACTAGAAACCAGCAAGGTAGTCAGGTGACTGCTCCAACCCTGACAATCTGAAAGCTATTTAAAGGAGACATGTTTACATTTCATGAACTAAGTACATGATAGTTATAGAGAGTAGAGAGACCCAGGACACAATGGCTGGGCAGAGGAACACTGATTCATGCAATCTTCAGAAATTAAACAAGTCATCTTAGAAATCTTTTGGGAGTTAGTTTCTCCCCCAAAATACATGGCTGCTGCAGGACTAACCAATATACTGCTTCTCCAGATAAACTACCTGTATAACGTTAGCAGAGTTGCAAAACATGCATCTATTGATAGATTAGGGGGAAAAAAGCAAGATACGTTGTCAGTAAAGTTTAAGACAACTTTAAGGAACTGAAAGTCCAGAGCAGCAGCTGACTATGTCAAATTAATGCTGTCTCTAACTCTTTTACTCTAGCTGGGCTGGGCTACCATAGCTCGCATGGTACACAAGAGCATCTGCTTTTCTGGGGTCCTGAGACAGAAGGCGCTCTGCATTGCATCAACAACAATGTAAGATTTTCTTGTTTTCTGAAGATGTCTCTCCTGCCTAGTGAAGTCGTTTTTGGAAGCATCTTGCCGAGACACACAGGAAGATTATTTATAGCACATGTCCAATCTTAGTATTTTTTTGGTGGGCAACTTTTCATTTCTTTGCCATTGAGATGGGGGAGGCAGGAGTTTCAATTTGTGATTGTCCTTATATCACCTAAGGCTGCGCAACAGCTGCAACACCACCAGAAGTCACAGGAAGGCCATTCGATTTCAGTGGGGGATAAGAGGGCAAATAGAGAGAGCTCTGTGTCTTAGGCAGTTACTTCCTTGCCTCTTACCTGGCTCAGAGCTGCTGCGTGATGTGGGTCTAAAGCAGCAGACATGACTTCTTTTTAGGCTTCTTCTTTTCCACTGGTGTTTTTCTGTTTATTTGTCTGACCAGGTCATAAAAGATCTGAAAGAGAAAGGTGTGTTTAGCAAACCATGAGTCACTAACATAACACTTGAATTACACAGGAGGCTAACTAGGCTGTCTGGCAAGTTGGTACTTTTCCTTGGTGGCTGCAAACTTAAAGTTACGGATTAAAGCTTTTGTTTCATTAAAAATGTTAAGGAGCAGTACATTCAGTGTCAACTTGGGTGAGCACGGGGGGTGCAAAGGTGACTTAAAGCTCACCTTTGCCTCCTCTGCGCCCAGTGTAGGCAGGTCCCCCTGCTCCATGTCAGAGCAGCACTGGGCTGCAGTAATTTAGATGAATTTAGGGGCAGGGGTATCCTGACTATAGCGCCATTGCTTGAACCCTCTTGGAAGCTGAGCAGGAAGTGGAAAGAGGCCCAACAATTCTGTGGATCATCTTTAGATAGGAGCTACCCTCCCTGGGCTGATTAATA